TGTGAGTGGGCATCAACTTGACGCAAAAACAATAATTATACATCGACTTATTGAACTAAAGAAACGAAGTGTATTTTGTTTAAAAATATCAAACGTCTGTACGCGATAGTTAGAGCGAACTTAAATTATATAAAGCATTTTTCCTTATTTACGGACTCATTCATTTCGTGTAGGCGCCCTAAAGGCAGTCCTTCAATTCCGTAAAGAGGATTCCCTCCAGTGGCGTGGCGTGCTTTGCGATATATCGAAAAATCTGCCATTTAAACTTGTGGAAAAGGATCGATAGACAGAGTATTCGCAACGAACATCTTAATAATCGATTCTTTACCACAGCTTCGAATGGGAAAATATCGATACGTGTAATCAATCATTCACGCCTTGCCACTGATTTCTGCCTCTTCGAATGATAGTAATTTTCTCGCATTCTTTTTTTACAAAAAAGGTTTATGATTACACCGAAAAAAAAGTTTGGTAACATCTACTAAAAGGCTACTTGATTTTTTACACAGTGATACCATTTAGTGAAAATAACCAGAATTATGGTAGTGTTCACCAGCATTCTGTTAATCCTTACCGTAGTATAGTAAATACTACCATACAGTCCAGTATTTATTACCATACTGGTTTCACTGTGTCCGGGTTTGGTAAAATCTACTATATTTCTTTTCAGTGAATGTTATAAAATCATAAGAGTAACGTGTAACGCATAACGCCTGAAGCATGGCATTTTGCGATGGGTTGGACTGCGAAGAGGTCAGAGGGGGCTGGTTTTTTATTTTTATTTTGCTCGCTAAATTAATCGCTTTTAAACGGAAGAATTCTATATCGAGAGTTTTAAAGAAAGACGTAAGTGAAGTAATTAAGGGCTGGTAGCATACCTATGTTAGATTAAGGCGTATACGAACTTAGAGGCGGAAGACGAATAGAGTGGCCAATCAGGGACCGCGAGGGACACTCTCGAAAATCACTCGAGACCGTACTGCCATGCTAAGAAAGATCGTCGTATGAGCCATCAGAAGTTGCCAAATTTTCTTCAATATAATACGAATTTTCAGGGAGACTTGTGGATACTTTTCTTCGCATTCTTTAGAGAAAAATCCGAAAAAATCGGTTCGTAATTCGATCCGAAGATTGTCCGAAAATTTTTGAAAAAAATATTCACAAATTTCCTAGTAATTTCGTTTTTTGTAGAGGGAAACTTGGCAACGTCTGAAGGCTCGCACGGCGTTTTTCCTTAGCATGGCAGATTGGACCTGTTCCGTTTCGAAAACTGATTTTTCACCAACGCTGGGGCACCGATTACTGCCAAAACCACCCTCCAAATTCCGATCCTCAAGCACAATCGATCTCTCGTAAAGATTGTGTTTTTTTACTTCAATTTGTAGATTAGATCGACTCCGTTTTCATAAATCTAGTTCATTCATCTCTTCGAGTAGCACTTGAGACCGATAATTTTTTTTTTTTTTTTTTTTTTTTTTTTTTTTTTTTTAACTTCAAAACATTCAGTGGTATTTTTTTTTGACTGAAACATTTACGCAGAGCAGAATTGGCTCGGAGGAAGTACGGAAGTCAGGCGCATTGCTATTTCGCCTTCAACTTTTGAATTAGGCAAAAAAATAACCTCTAGGTAGAGATAGGACACCCGAGGATGTTTCCCTCACATTTTTGGAGTTTTGCTTCGAAGTAAATAATGTCGAAGTCCACTCTAATGATTTTGATGCTCTGTTTTTCCTGGTCTGTATGACTGATCTTAAATAAATATCAATAATGATTCAGCGCCAATCTTGAGGGAAACCATATAGTGGGGCCGATAAGCATAACAATCGTGCACTTCTGGAAGAAAGCATGAAAATTTCAGGGATTCATCTCTACCCTATAGACATTCGATTCAGACATAGACCCCAAAAATCTGAGCCCCCTGGGGGGGCAGGGGGGCCCCCAAATTTTGAATTTTGAATAACTACTGAACGGCTAATGTTAGCGTAATTTTTTTTAAGCAGGACGATAGGAAATTTTATCAGGAACAAAAATGGTTCTTATGAATTTTTCTGTGGGATCGATATTTAAGGCGTGAAACGGGAAAAACCATCGGGGGACGGGGAGCCGGCCGTTCTGAGGCAGATCCGCGCGCTGCGCTGTTTGCCCGGGACGCGCGCGGCGGCGCAGTACGGTGTTACCGACGAAACAGCCGCTTGTCTTGGTTTAATCTCAACGATGCGCAGTTTTAAAAGTATTGTGAATATATCGTACTACCTATAAAGCCTTAAAATAGGGCTTAACTTATGCAGGTAATATATGTATACAAGCGAGCGCACGGCAACAGAAAGAGAAGGGGTTAAGTGCTGGAGTTCCGAATTGTTTTGTTGTATGGGTTTGTCAAGTTTTATTACAGCATCCGAGATAACTGCATCAGACATCAGTTGAACGGAATAAAATCTGAGGCACAGTTGTCTCGGGAGGGGGGGGGGGCTAAAAGTCACAAATCTTATTTGTGTACCACGATGACCTGAAAAATGATTTTAAAGTGTTTTTCTTTCTCTTTCTCTCGGTGCTGCGACATCAGGATGGTATCTAAATATGCTTACTTAAGACAGGGAGCCTAATTTTGTAAACAATGAGCATACATAAAAACATGCTTATTCTCCTCTCTTTCAGGAACATTTTGGTACATCATTGCTACGTATAGGCATTTTTTTAAGAGGACCAAAACCACCTTCAAAACTTGCTCCAAAAAAACGGCAAAAGAATCTTGAGAAAGCTTGATAGGGATAAATGACCCCCAAAAAACCTTTGTTGGACTGCTTCTTGTACAGTACAAAGAATATTATTAAGTAATAACTAGCCGCCGTATCCGCTAATCTGTCAAAACGGTCCATTTGAGTGATAGGAAGTCGCGCCTAAGTACTGGGAACCTATCCTGCTCTTATGTCAGCGCATCATAGGTACGATATTCCGCAATCTCGGTAATTTTGCAACTGATTACTGATTACTGATTTTGACTGATTTTTTGATATTTTGACGATAAATTAACCTTTTGATAATCTCTAAAGCTAATTCGATCAGTGTTATAATGTACGATAAAGTTTAAGGTGTACGTTTTGTGCATTGCATATTTTGCAAGTCCCGTTTCTTGAAAATTGTCTCCGACATACTTACCTAGAACTCTTCCATGAGCTCCATACAAATCAAAAATCGGTACGAGATTTGCGGGTTGAAAAAGAAGAAATGCAATGAATTTCTTCCTGAGGCCTGGTCCTTCTCAGAGGTTCTTTAAAGAATCAGAACCTGCATGATAAATAAATTTCCTCCTATATTAATATTTTTTTCAAAACAAATGTTACCAACTCCACTCTAAATTCCATACAACAAAATGTAAGATAATATACATGGATTTTTTTTACTGCTCATTCCATTTTCTATGTGTCGTGGTAAGTACCAATAATATCTTCAAGGATGACTCGATAAAAAGAGGCGATAGTATTCAGATATCTTCTTTTTTATCATTTATTTAATGTATTGTTCTATTTTTTTTTAAATATGCATATTTGTTGAATAACTGAAAAAATAGGGAGTTCATGAAAATGAAAACTTCTATTGACTGGCTGGAGGGAAAAAGAGGAGAAAAGAACATTGTCGGAATGTTCCGTATGAATCAGTACCTATGCAATTGCGTGAAACCAATGAACATGAACGAAAAACGATATTTCCTTCATTTTGAAGGAAATCTGGTAACCTTATAGTGGCGAAGGGACTGTGGAGCCCCCCTCCCCTCCCTCCACACTCCTCAATTAATATCTCTACCAAGTTTTGCAAAATTCATGGTTATGTAAGCAGCTCATTGTCTCATTCGCCGAAAGTAACATGAAAAATAAGCTAAAAATAAGTTACGAAGGATCCGCCATTTCCAATAGTCATGAAAAAGTGGGTCAAAATCGTATTAAAACTTGTTATTTCGCTCTAATATCTTAAAAAAATGTAATCCTGTACAAAACTTACGTGAGGAAAGGGTAATTTACTCTGTATTGAGGTCGGAAAAGCTCTGCATTCAGAGAAAACAAGACGCGTGATGCGCGATGACCGATCCCTCCTATTGACTCGGCGCTCTCACATTGGAGTATTTCGCTTTTGCTTGTTTTTATGTATTACTAGTAAAAAGTAGAGCTTATATTACTGAGGAAAAGTATTTAGGCAGTACGGTAAATTCATTATTATTTTTAAAACTGCGCATCGTTGAGATTAAACCAAGACAAGCGGCTGTTTCGTCGGTAACACCGTACTGCGCCGCCGCGCGCGTCCCGGGCAAACAGCGCAGCGCGCGGATCTGCCTCAGAACGGCCGGCTCCCCGTCCCCCGATGGTTTTTCCCGTTTCACGCCTTAAATATCGATCCCACAGAAAAATTCATAAGAACCATTTTTGTTCCTGATAAAATTTCCTATCGTCCTGCTTAAAAAAAATTACGCTAACATTAGCCGTTCAGTAGTTATTCAAAATTCAAAATTTGGGGGCCCCCCTGCCCCCCCAGGGGGCTCAGATTTTTGGGGTCTATGTCTGAATCGAATGTCTATAGGGTAGAGATGAATCCCTGAAATTTTCATGCTTTCTTCCAGAAGTGCACGATTCTTATGATATTTTCCACTTATCGGCCCCACTAATACTTCCGCAGCGTATAATAATCGTATTATGCAGAAAACCACTCCCATCCAGTGGCGAGGCGTGCTTTGCGATATATCGATTGATCTGCCATTTAGATCTATAGAAAAGGATCGATAAACAGGGTGTTCGCAATGAACATCTTAATAATCGATTCTTTACTATAGTTTCAAATGGGGAAATATCGATAATCGATCATTAAAGCTTCACCACTGCTCCCAACCTTGGTGGTTGTTGTGGGTTAGTTTGCTGGGAATCCCGTGTCGCGGATTTTATTATACAGAGTCGAGGATATTTTTCTTAACTTAGTCTTTCGACACTTAAAAATTTAATAATTGTCTATGCTACCAGAGTTTTGACGTGAACCAAGTTTAGGCACCCTCTTCTTAGCGATGAAGGCTCTCATCATTGCTTGGACCTTGATGATCTTCTTGACCTGCGTCTCGTACAGCCTAAATTATCAGGGAAATAAGAAAAGTCACTTAGTCTTACAGTTCCAACATAAAAGGCAATTAGCTTGTCCAGTATAATTTTAAATTATTGAAAATTTTCAATAAGAAAAGAGTGCCCTTAGTGGGTCAGTTGCGCTCGTCACAGAATCATATTTTGATGCTTGATTCTTGTAGATTTGCACAAATAATAAGATCTGGCTCCATCAGAAATATCAGAAAAAATCACAAAAGAAACTGTGAAATCAGCTCTTTGAGCACTTGCAGATGAAGCGATAAAAAAAATTGGGATCAATTTCTCCATTGATGTCGTTGTGCCTAAATATTTCATTTTTTGAGCAGAGTGTTTAGTTTTTGCAATGACAGGAGAAACTAGAGAAAAAAATGGTAAAGTTAGAAAAAATGGTGCTATCAAATTTTGGATATTCTTGTTTTTTCAGACACCATGAATAGCTCTGATACCTTTCATGTACTCTATTGGCAGACAGGGCCGGATTTACCTTATTGCCGCCCATGGGCCGCCTGTATTTTGCCGCCCCCTTTTCATTCGGTTTGAAGTATCAACAAAAGCCATCGAGTGAACGTGCCGGAGGGGAGGGATGTATAAGACGCGTTTACTAGTGTTGGACACATTTTTTGCGAAAACCCTGTCAACACTACCGGCAAAAGTTCATGTAACTTTGCGCGAAAGTTAAGTTCCGTAAACCTATCTCTGTGTGGACAAGGCCTTCCATTTATAAGAAATGAACGAAACAATTATGAAAGAACAAACATAAATGTGGTTTAATACATTTAACTTCCCCCACCGCGCCGCGCCGCGTTGACCGCACTGTGTTTGGCGCAATGCGTGAAGTATTCATGCAGTCTTTTAGGCGCTATGCGTTTCACGCCGATCGCTTCTGACCGCACCGTGTTTGACGCAATGCGTGAAGTATTCATGGAGCCTTGAAGGCGCTAATATGTGTTACATGCCGACCACTAAGTTGAGGGAGTCTCCTTTTCATCTCAAGTCCTCGTCATCATTGCTCTGTGCGCCGTTCCAGGCCAAATTGCGTGTTCGGTTTCTCTCTTAACTCGACTAATTATTAAAAGTTCTGTCCCTTGTATCACCGAAAAACGACTAAGTTAGAAATTATTTTACTCTCAGGAAATGAGAGATTTTGTCGCCTTTTCTCGTTTGTGATTTTTTTTCTGAGTCCAATTTTTTTTATACACCTACATTTAAAATTATTGCCAAATTTGCCGCCATGGGCCGCGGCCCATGTGGCTACCCCCTAAATCCGGCCCTGTTGGCAGATCTCTGCGTCTTAAGATTTTTTTTTACGATTGTCGTTCAAATAAACAACGTGCATGAAACCCATTCACAACCTATGACATCATCATACAAACTCATACTTCAGTTCCATCGCAAAGTCGCTTTCCTTTTTCTTAATATATGTCGCAAGAAATGTTGAGCTTTTTTTTTGAGTTGATTCTGTATGTACGATTCATACAATTTTATCATACCTAGCAGCAGTTTAGATAATCAACAACAAGTACTTACCTCGATAGATATTCTTCGTTATAATATCTTAGGAACACCTTGTTCTTGCCAATGACCCAGCCTTCCATTTTCAAACGAATTAGTAGAAGTCTACAGTTTTCTTTAGTGATATCGACATTCTCATCAAAATCAAATGCTAAGAATTTATATCTGCAAAAAATACGGTCAGAATTGATCAGATATTGCACATTTCGATTGGTGAGACTATATTTTAGTTCAAATTATGTACTGATTTTCCGAAGTAGAACCCTGTTCTTGTTGACGTATTATTAATTAATTTTAATTAAACGTTAAGTTAGTTGGGCAGTTTAATGTTTTACACGAATACGGTTGTGCGGATTTTTGTGCAAATTTCAGTGCATTTTCAGCGTAGCACGAGGCAAATTCCTCAAAGTTTTCAAAGAAATCCGCTCAAATATGCTCTTGTAAAAAATTAAATGGCCGAGTTAAATTTGGCGATGGCTGATGTGTCTTGGTTCCTTTCTGCTAAACGCAGACCATTTTTTCCTTACGATCCTCATAATAAATGCCGTTCATATACTAAAAGAGATAATAATTCACTCTAACTCCTAACTGGAAAAAAAACACATTGGATCTAGAGTCCAGACTCTTGAAAACATTGACAAGAAAAAATACTCTTGATTCAATTAGATTTTTGCTTGAATCAAAAGGAAATCCGCTTAAATGAAGTGGCTTGGTTCTTGAATTAAGCTAGATTCTGATTGAATAAAAAGTACTTTTTCTTGCCGATGTTTTTAAGAGTCTGGACTCTAGATCAAATGTGTTTTTTTCCAGAGCTTGTTTAATACTGAATTAATAATTGTCGTTCGGATTAATCCATGCGAACCTAGTTTTAAAAGGATTGATGCGAAAAGTATTGATCCTAGGACTAACGGCGTTATTCAAAAAATGATAGGTTATGGCTCTACAATATCAAAATGGTTAATCAATATTTGCTGATGTATCTATAGACTAAGAATTAGATGAAATCTATTTTTTATTTATTTTATAAGCTATATTTGTATACTCCAGTGAATAATTAATACATTAGCTTCATCCGTGAAGGGACGAACCTTTGGAGGAAGTCGTTGAAGTTGACCCTGTGTGAGTAGCCCTTCTGACGGGCCTTGGCCGTGTCGACGATGGCGAGGGCCCTCATCTGCTGGCGGACGACCTCCGGCTGGAAGCCCTTGGGTTGCCCGGTGAGGTCTGTGCGGATGCAGCGGACGAAGTGCGTGCCGCCCCCGGACGCGCTCCCCGAGACGTTGCGCAGCACCTCCAGGCACGACGCCCGGAACACCGCGCAGCCAGTCCGCATCCGTCGGGTCTGCGAGTACTCCCCTCGCGACTCCGTGTTGAATTTCTGAATAAATCACAGATAAAGCATATCAGAAGGCTGATTGTTGAAATCGATAGACAAAGCGATAGGCAAAGAAGACATAAGGAGTATGGAGCGATCCTATTGGTTGAAATGGGTGGTTCTTACTAGAGTACCATTATAGACGGAGTATGGCCACTTCTGTGCCAGTTTTTCATTGGTCGCGTGAAAATAGGCTAACACGATGTTCTTACGGCCGTAAATAAACAAACAAGATGGCTGTTATCAGCAAGCAAGTTTGAGGCTATGCACATCTTACATCCTCCTGCGAGAGGCGATTTAACAGTGTTTTCATGTGTTTTTTCAAGTGTTATTCGTAGACATGCTAGTTTAAAATTGTTACTGCCGTATAATTGCAATTTTTGTCTTTTAGCTTCTTATCGATGTTTCGGAGAGCCACCATTTTGTTTGTTTATTTACGGCCGTAAGATCATCATGAAGCCTAAAAACTCGTTGACCAATCAAAAAGCGGCACAGCTTTTCTGTAGTAAAAAGATACGAATGGCCACAGTCTGTCTATAAAGGTACTCTAGTTCTTACAGACTAAGGTGGTAGATAATAGACTAACTATCGGGTATCTCGTGGGTTGCCTTTAGTTGGTCTATCACCTCCCAAGTAGCATTTTTCAATGTAAAAGTTGCAAGAAGTTGAAACAATATTGGTTAAAAGTCGAAACTGAGTTGCAACCAAGTTGTAACTCTTGGTCAACTTTTGGTCGACGAGTGCCGATTTTCGGCGATCTGATCGGAAGAAAAGTTGCAGATTACCGTAACTGTATTGCATGAATCTTGCAACTTTCCAACGTTGTCAGGATGTTTAGAAATGTTAAAAAATTCGACACTGAAAAAAAAAAACTCCGGTCGTGGAAGTCGTACTTACGGGCTATACAGCCACAACGTCCGCGTTCCGGGCTCAGAGGCCGAAAGTTCCGAGCGTAGCATCCGGAGCATTTGAAGCTGCGGCTCCAGCACGCGGAACTTCCGGTTCCTGAGCTCGGAACGGACGGTATGTCTATACAGCCCGTAACTTTTTATTGCAGTGTAGAGCAAGGAGAAGAGTTGTTGCTTATAGAGAATGGCTCAATCATCGGGAAAGTCTGAAATATACTCCTAACTTCACAATTTGCGTAAGAAATATGGGTTGATCAAAACTTTCCGCTTCAAAAGCGATACTGGCGAGGATGGTCTCTAAAAATCTTCTCGCAGACCCAAGAATCCTCAGAGAGGTCTGCTTGCGTGCCACTAATTGTCCATCTCTTTTGGAAAAGGTACTCTAATTACTTAGAATCTGAGGATTCTTATGTCTTTTAGGGTAGGATGGGGTCAGTCCGCCAGTCGACCGTAGCGCCCCTAGCGGTGGTCGAATTGGGAAATTCAAAGCATGGGAGTAAGCAGTTGGAAGTGCTCGTCTACTATATGTTGTTCCATGCATGATTCATTTGTTTACAACTAACCTACAGGCGCAAGTGTTAAAATTGCTCCCGATCGTAACTTTTTTCTTTTTTGGAACTTTTCGTCTGGACTTTGGTGGTTTGGTGATCGAAATTTGGTAAGTACATCATCGTAAACTACTCACTCAAGGCTATTGATTCCGTTTTTGATCTTTGAAATATCTTTACTTCTGTCATGTCAGGTAACAATTTTGTGCAGCGAAGCCGGGATGGGGTCATTCCGCCAGTGACGCCGAGGGTCATTCTGCCACTGGCTAAGTGACCCCTTTTTAGGTTTAGGTGCTGCTACACTGGCTAGTCCTTTATATGTATGTAGTTCAATTTCAAAACCACCGACTTTTTATTAATATTTTAACTTTTTTTTGAAAAAAAAAATTCAAATTTTGAAATTTATTAGACCTTTAAAATTAACTTTTCGTTCTTATAGTTATAGACTTTTTTGTACTGACTGAAGTTCTGAGTTCAGATATGTTTGTTTTCCTTCATTTTTCTTAATTAAATTGTTTTTTCCAGCACTTCTCATGTCTTCATTTGCTACTGACGTATTGACCCCAGCACTGGCGGACTGACCCTAAGTAGAGTCCCTTTATACCCAGAGTTAAGACAACTCGATTATCAGCTGACTCGCAGCCGGCCTTGGCTGGCCATGGAGGCCGAAACGAGTGCACCCAAACGAACGATATTGAGGGATAAGTATCAGGAATCCTGCGATGTCTGTCACACAAAAACAACAACATCAACAAATTGACCAATTAAAAAGAAAATGAGATTGGTTTGTGAATAATTTCTTAATCTATTTTCATTTTGGACCGATGGAAATAACAATTTACTCTTGATAAACCACAATTAGGGAATATTTTCATTATTCTTGTTCACATTCGAGGTGCCGCCATCTTGGTGCACTCGTTTCGGCCTCCATGAGCGAGAACCAATCAGAATTGGATTTTTTTTTAGGCCACTTTCAGCCCAACCAAAAGTGAGTTGTCTTAACTCTGGGTATGAAGGGACTCTAACCCTAAGAATGTGGCGGACTGACCCTACTCGTGGGGTCACTCCGCCACTTTCTTTTAAAAAAAAAAAAGTTCAAAAAAGGGGGGGAAAATGCACCTAAAGTATCCAATTTTTTTTTGTGCATAGTCAAAGGTCCAAAGATCACTCCTAGCATTCAAACAAGTTCATCCATAAATTAGGGAACTCAGGAAAAATCTTGGGGCAAAAAAGTGGCGGACTGACCCCATCCTACCCTACTCCCTACGTCTGTTTCGGCTCCGGGGCTCCGTCGGGATATGCGCCCATTTCGTCCAAACGTTGGAAAAACTTTTACTTTGGGGACTCCAACATTGAACTGTTGAATTGCCTACCAGGTGGATGCTGAACAACGTGTTGCGTATTTCGTGTCGCAAAGATAATGAATTTTGTCAAATTTGCTTGGCTTCACTCGAAGCTCATCATCCACCTAGTAGGTTGGTCAAAAATAGAAAAAAGGGTGATGACTGTTGCTCCCGGGTAATTGCCTATAAAGAGGTGTTGAATCCCCGAAAGTGTAAAAATTCCCATCGGTCGCCAAGAGGCCGCAGTGTAAGGTTTCTCTTTGTTAAATGATAAGAACGTGAGCCAAAGATGCATAATTTTTTACAATTTTATTTGTTACAGAACGCATTTCAGGAACAAACTTCCTTTCTTCAGAGCATTACCTGAAATACATGTTCACCTATGTTTTGTGAGTGTATCATGTATTTTTTCTGATATGTAACTTATCAATGTAGCCACCACCCAAGTAGCATTTTTCATCGGAAAAATCGCGATTTGTTGCGACTTTGTCGGCGACAAAATCGCTAAGATTATCAACATCTGAGCGATTATCCTCAATCTTGTTGCAATAAAATCGCGATTTTATCGCCCGGCAATTTATCGCGATATTATCGCAACCAAAATCGCGATATATGGCGATTTAATCTCGATTTCATCGACAAAAATTGATCGCGATTTTATTGAACAAAAATTTGCAATGCATAGCGATTTAATTGCCGTAAATCGCAATTTTTTATTCGATAATATTGCGATAAATTGCCACCGATATAATCGCGATAATCAACCGATAAAATCGCTATTTATCGCGGTCACTTGCTACTTGGGCAACTGTACTTTAGGTAATGCTCTGGAAATGGGAATTTTGTTCCTGGAATGTATTAGCACCTGTAAAAAATAAAATTGTAAAAAAATTATGCATCTTTGGCTCACTTTTTATCATTTATCATCATATATTGATGGAATATACGGCTGAAAAACTTTTCTCTTTGTCTCTGGTTCGAGTGCTCACCCTAGATTTCTGGTTTTCTTGAACGAGCGCGGCTCCCCATCGCTTCTTCTTGCCGACGGCGACGAGGGTGTTCTGGTCGGAGCTGATGGTGAGGTTCCCGCTCTTGGTCAACTGGTTCGTGAACATCTGCTTGACGATCTTGCACGACGAGGTCCGGAGCGTCTCGATCATCTCCGGCGGGAGGAAGTCCCGGTTCTTCTCCGGCATGTCCTTGATCTCGTAGCAGACTTTCCCCGTGTAGTGGGCCACGCAGAACTCTTTCCCGGTCGCCATCTTTATCCGCGGACCCCTCCCGTCGCTCTCCAGCGTCTCTGAAAATCGTATGGAATTATTTAATGATGACGTCATTTCATTTACAAAATCTGATTCGAAGTTGACTGTATCAACTCTCCAACAAGTTTCCTTCTAGCTCATTACGTCCGAAAGGGAACATGGAGATTAGCCGTCAACCTCAGGCTACCTATAGATTTACTCATCGTATATTCAGTTGAATAAAAGTGTTTAGTTTCATTACACCCCTTTTTCAGAGACGTCTTATCCTCCCTCTCAAGATACGAATACTTCAACTTAATATGAGATCATTCTTTTCACAGTTGGATTGCATCTTGCAAGAAGGAACCAAGAGCATTCCAATGTTTCTCAGATTGTGCCATCAGTTTATCTTACTCCCAAGAAACTATAATTCCAAGTTGAAAATTACCCTGTAAATTTGATTTTTTGCAAGATTTCAGTAATTACATTGCAAGGAATGCAAGTTGCACAATCTTAGCAACATTGGATTACTCTTGGTTCCTTTTTGCAAAATGCAATCCAGTTGCTCCAAGTATTACGCTCCCGCGTGACCAATTTTGAAAGTTCCTTCAAAGCGTCGCGTATGCAACACCATGCACAACTGCAAGTTTAGTTGCCTACTCGAGTTCCTTCTTCAATGCCCAGATACGAAACGAGCAAACCACACAGTCAATTAGTTGTGCCCCCATTTTTTTTGCTCCAGCGTGAGACTTACCTGCGATGAAGTTGGCTCCTTGACTACTTCTGCTAGCCTCATCGATCACGTAGAGTAAACCGTCTGGTTTCCTCATCAGCTCGTCGACTGTCGGTTTGTTATCGTAAAATTGGAGTGCCTGAATTGGAATCTCTTCCTCCTCTTGCTCTTGCTAGAAAAAAGTTTTCAATAATTTTCCCATCATCAGTGAATGTTTCATATCTTCTTTTAGCAGCAAAGTTAAGTTCTAAATTAATTTCTATTTTTCCGTTTTGTTTAACTCTACTTTCTATAGGTAGCTTTTAGCATTCATGAAGCGTATCATTCAGTGGCGTGTTTTGCGATACATCGATTGATCTGCCATTTAAACATATGGAAAAAATCGATAAACCGGGTGTTCACAACGAACACCTTAATAATCGATTCTTTACCATAGCTTCAAATGGGGAAATATCGATAATCGATCAGTCACACCTCGCCAGTTGTACCAATAAAAAGAGCCATTAACTATCCATCTGATTAAGTTTGACTCAAAATGAAGAGAGCTATTCACACCGACTAGTTTTCTGGTGGAGCTATGAGAGATATAATGAATTGTTTAAAAAATATGATTAATTTAACTGTATTCTTTTTTTGCTTCAAAATCAGCCATTCTTATAGTTGAATTTATGTTTTCCGCAATCGAATAAAATATTTTTGCATCGAAAACTTACCATCTCCCACGAGAAAACCTTTTGATTATAGTGATACTGCATTTGCTCGTTAAAAGTGTTGACGTAAAGTTGTTCCAGGTAATTCTTCTGGAAGCACTCGAAACCAAACATATCCAAAATGTTAATGTAGTATTTGTCGCCGCTGAAAACAAAAATCAAAAATGATTTGATCAATGCAAGCTCATTGGTGGATATCCAAGTGGTACTGGAATATGCATGCAAGCGGTGGTTTTGAAGAGAAATAATAAAAAACATAAATTCAATTGGGTTGAATAGGGAATTGACCCCAAGAAATTCGAATTTCATGATCTCGAATTCCTTGGGGTCAATTCCCTCTTCAACCCCGCAGTCGCTGACTTCCTCCGACCTAAATCAACCGATGAAAACGCCTGGTACGGGCGCTTTGGGACACCCTGTATAGATACTCTAGTCTTCACTGATGGACGTACGTACAAGCTTATTAGAATTTGTACTCACAAAATGACTCTTGTCATGGAGAGTTTCAAGTTGAGGATGTTGACGATCCAATCGACAAGTCTGAAGTAAAGGCCTCTTGCGAGGACATCCCGGGCAATGGTGGCCTCGACTCTAGTATGTCTTCGTCGCGCCGCGGTGCCCTTTTGAACAACGCAGTAGTTCAGCAGAGACCAGCAGAATTTCTTCTCGTCAACGCCAATCAGCTGTGCAACTGAACAAAAACAACTAAGTTATACAAGCGATATTGAAATTCTGAATTTATCCAGATATCGTCGTTTCCCTCACGATCACTCCATGAAAATTGCATTTTTACGATGAGAATCATGGCTATTTTCATCTCAAAATATTTCACCGATTTTTTCCCCTGATCTCACGCAAAAAATCTGAACATTTTTGAACAAAAATTGCGCAGGTTCATACTTGTTAAAAATGTAATTATTTGCGTCAACTTTGCAACCTCAGAATAGAGTTATGTTCCTCCGTACGAAAAATAACGATATGGAGTACCACGTGAGGGGCAAATATAGGCCCTTGACCTTCCGCAAATGTTTTCTAACTAGGTTTCGGCTGTTCTCACAGGTATCCTTTATTCGACGAAGATTTCACTTCATCGTGCTTGTACTGCCATGCTAAGTAAGAACGTCGCACAGTGGAACGAGTTCCGAAATTAGTCGAATATGAAACTTGTCACAACAATTGTAAAATTTCACGTTTATCTCGAAAAAATTAAAATTTTTAGGGGTGCTTTCTTACAGAAAATTTGACAAGGAAAGCATGAAACTACTTTAAAAACATCAACATCTCATGTGAACGAAGATATACGCTTTTAAAGTTTTTTAATCATGCCCGACCTCTCCCATTGACTCGATCCACTGTGCGCCGGATGCGCCATCGGGTGTTGCCAAATTTCCCCCCCAAAAAATCTCGAATTTTCAGGGAAATTTGTCCATCTTTCTTCTCTCATTTTCCAGAGGATTTCGCACGTAATTTGATCTAAAATATACGAAAATTTCAAGGAAAAATACCCATAACTCTCCTAGAAAATACGTGTTTTATCCGGGAAAATGTGGCAACCACACTAAAAAAATAGTTCTGTTCACAGGGCTCCTGCACTTCTTTTGTAACAAACCCAGAAGCTTCCGTTATGAGGACAGAGTGCTCTGTTCCCACGACCGAAGTTCTGTTCTCACAACAGAAAAATTCCGGAAGTGTAAGAAAGAAACTGCAGGAGTCCTGTGAACAGAGGGCTCTATCGTCAGCACCATCTATTTTGGCGCGTATACGTAGTATATTGGCGCGTATACGTAGTATACCGCCTTTGCGATCGTTTCGACCCCCCCCTCGATACAATAACCGAGTCCCCTAGTTCCTTACCGAAAAGTGACTACCGCGAACTTCTGAGATTTTCCAAAGCGTGTAAAAAGTTTACTAATCCGTCAATAATAATGATTAAAATTTGTTTCTCATTCTGGGGCTCGCTAGTTTATGTGTAATGAATACCAAGAGTCTACGTTTCTTGGTTTTTTTTTAAAAAAACCTTAGAATGGGGCGCGCTGATTTAAAATATGCATATATAAGCGGAAGCAAGCGAACTGATTCGAGGATGGCTGACCAGTTCGGCACTCCTTGAATGAGAATTTCACTCACTCCGTTTTGTTCACAACGTTGCTTTGACATATCTCCACAACACTGTTATCCTTTTCAAAAGTTGGTACTCCTTGCTCTGATAGCCGGGGCCACCAGGATAGTGGTAAGTGCAATCTGTGATGAGCCTCGAGACTCATTAGACCATTTGCTAAACGTGGCTCATACAGGAGTCCACTAAGCCCTCTCGTCCCCACGCTCCTGATCACTGCGTCGGCGTCACGAAGAACAATGGGCCTTGGGTCCCAACGCGGCCGATACCCGTACCCCAATTACTCACGCTTCATTAACCATTTCACCGTCACGCTAGGATTCATCCAATTTTCAAAAAAAATCGTTTCGCATGTATTTAGCAATTTTTTCCTTACTCTCCGTTAAAACACAAATAAAAAGAGACCTCATTCATAAAAATCGGCCGAATAGAAGAGAAGTTACAGTAATCGAAATCCGAAGAAATCAACAAAACCTCGACTCCTCGATACGAAAAATAAAATGAAGGGGAAAAAAAGAAAGTATAAATTACAATTAAATATAATTGACCTCAAAATTTGACAAACAATTCATTTATATACCTAACGCTGAAAAAACTGGGAGAAATTACAAAAAATTTGCCTCTTGCAAGGGGCTTCTTTGTAAGAATTTTGACCTGAAGACAACGGTCGAATAACAGCAGTACTCCATACAATACACGGTGTGCCTGAACGAGTTAAACATTTTTCATACGTCCAAATCGAAAAATCTTTATATTTTTAACTACAATGTTTCTTGAATCGTTTAAGCAAAAAAAAAAAAAAAAAAAAAAAAAATTCCGTCGAGATTCTGGAACGCAAAGGCGCTTTAAAAGTATTCTGGGGCTATAATAGCTAAATCACCGGTAGTAAATTCGTTATATTATTAAAAAGAAATTGACTCCATAGTTTAATTCCTTAGTTTCTTGAATACGATTATTTTAAGCACTTAAACATTTATACCACCAATTTTAGCCATGGGGTGATTTCCTGAGAGCCGATAATATCACGAATTTCTCATAGAACCCCTCAACAGTGGCTTGCTTTTTTGGCAGCCGATTCGGCCATCGAACCGGAGTTTAAATGGAAGCTGATAATAACCCAAAGCTCTGAGAAAAATTTTGAGATGAGTATAAGAACGGTTTGTTGTAAGTAGCGAGGAGAGGCGGGCAAAGCGGCTAAAATCCTATCTAATTTTTACAGTTTTTCTGTTGAATTAATGTTGCCGCGGGCTTCTGACTGTCCACACATAGTTCTGTTCAGCATATCGATACATAAGTATTTACATTTTACATACGTAGAATCTAATTTTCACGTCGGGGAGTTGACATATTTTGATTTTTTCGATTTTATACGGAAAATTGATGGTTTTTCGGGATTGAAATTATTATTGTTTCATGAAAAATAAATGCACCCAAAATGACTATAGCATATTGATTCTTACACATTTGCACTCACAAAATTGGTTGGTAAATTCAACGAGTGGGTGCATCGACCTGGTATATCAAGTTTCTGCAATTTTTTACGGCAAATCAGTAGATTTTCGGGATGTAGATTGCTTACTTTCAATTCATGAATGAATAAAGCAACGACATGGTTGAACTTCTTTGCATGGAAAGACGTTTAAAATAACATAAAATCAAGACGTATTTAATGCAATTGCATTTATATCGAGTCAATTTCTTTTCAATAATATAACGGGATTTTTACTACCGGTGATTTGGGTATTTTAGCCCCAAAATACCTTTAAATCGACTTTATCTTCTAGGAGTTCGACAGAATTTTTCCTTTCTTCGCTTAAATTATTCCGTAGCACTTTTCTTCAAGAATCTGATAAGATTTTGCTTGAGGCAGATCAAAAAACTTAAATTCGATCGAATAGCTTTCTACTTTCACAATACACGGTCTCGTCAAGGTGCGTCTTTGACCTCGCAGTGTTGGATCGTGAATTCTCTTTTTATGCTGTTTGCCTATTTTGAAATCTCTGTAAATGAAAACTAAAGGGGTTGATATGTGCGAGTTAATGACGCGCCTTATCAACACATTGTGTTGGAGTTCACTGCTTGTTTTTCTGTGTATCGAATGTTCATACGGCGTTCTTCCCTAGCACGGCAGTGTAGTAGCTTAGATCTGTTAGTGCAGGTATATAACTGGACGTATTTCTACCAAACAGACCTATGTGGGGGTGAGAAATGTGGTATGTGCTCGTTAGTTCTCTGGCCGTAAGAGTGAATGGGAATAATAAAGCGCCAGTGACGTCAGCGGCAATGATAGTGCGCACTCGAGCGAGGGGGAGATCGTTAGAGGGAGTCTTTAACTCATGAGCCCTGTCCACAACGCTATCTTGCCATGCCCGCGGCTCATGAATTCCGCATTCGGTTGCCACATAGGTCTGTTTGATGGAATGTAATATCCCGCATTCCCGCTTTTCCAATTCTTCAAAAGGAATCACGCCCACTTTTACATTGCTTCTTATGCAGCTTCGACGAGCACACCCCATATTTCTCACCTCCACATAGGTCTGTTTGCTAGAAATACGTCCAACTGACCTTTGGCGGCGACCTGGGGGTTCTGGACCTCGGCGGTGCCGTCCTCGAGGTCGTGGAAGGTGACCTCGCCGAGGAGGAGGATGGCGGCGAGGGTGCTCCAGATGACTTTCTGCTCGTTCTCCTCGATCTCCAGGGCGGCGAAGATCTCCTTGATCTCCTTGAAGTGCTGGACGTTCTCCCTTGGGGTCTCCCGGGCGGAGCGGATGGAGCGCGGCGCTGTCTCGCCGTCGTTGGTCGTTCGCAAGTACTTGTACTGCCGCCCGCTCTCCAGACTGTACTTGCTCAACTCGCCGGATTCGTCCATCGCGTCGTAGAAGTAGTAGAACATGTGGAAGTTGGCGTTCTGGAACTCCCTGGAATCGTCAACGCAAAAGGCCGCATTTGAATCAGTGAGTTCGTAAACACACCAACTCGGGAAACAAATGGACCACTAGACAAGGTACGAATTTAAGCAATCTGATACATGTTTCTCACAGAAAAAAATAGATGGTGCTGACGACAGAACCACACGGCTCCCGCAGTTTCTTTGTTACAGTCACTGAAGCTTCCGTTATGAGGACAGAATACTCTGCTCCCACGACCGAAGTTCTGTCCTCACAACAGAAAAATTCTGTAAGTGTAACAAAGAAACTGCAGGAGCCGTGTGAACAAAAGGTTCTGTCGTCAGGACCATCTATTTTTTTCTGTGCTTAACCAGAATTTTACGTAAAACACGATTATTACAACAAAAATTACGGAAACCAACTTTTAACGAAAATATTAACGTTTTTATTTCACATTGGTTACGAGGAATTTGAACTGCCCGCTCACAAGAGACTCAAAGCTCTACGTGAGTCAAATTGCGCACTACAACGGTTTCAGCAAGTTTCTCAACCGAACAATGTTCATTTCCCACCATGTGGTGTTTTAACTATTGCCAATTTGCTATAGCTGAGCCAAAGCGTCAAGATTGAGGTTGCCGGATTTTTATATCGCAGAGACTGTCATGATGAACGTTCAGCGCGCGATGCGAATCACGTAGAGCATTGAGTTTTCATGAGCGGGTGGTTTGAATTCACGCATCAAGAATTATTGAATATCTTAGTAAGGAGTTGATTTCGGTACTTTTCGTTGTGCGTATCGTGTTCTACGTAAAATTTTGGTTAAGAAACATGTATCAGAATGCTAAAATTCGTACCTTGTCTAGTGGTCCATTGTTCAAGAAACACCTAAAACTCCGCAGCGGGCGAAGAAGTTAGTTTAAGAAAAACCTTTTTGGTGCCAAAGGACAAGTACTTAGAGACTTTGTAAAGCATCAAGTTGAAATCGATACATTATGTTTGATGACAGAGAAATAAGCGTTTAAAAACCCTGGTAAAAATTGGCAATAGGAGCTGCGTTTCACAATACCATAGGAGTTCTTATAGCCGACTGAAGAAGGCTACAGAAAATCATATAGTTGGCTGTAGAAAGTGGAAAAAATCATACGGCCGGGCTACACGAAGCGATAAAAAATTATACAGCCGGGCTATAGTTCCTATCGCCGGGCTTTACACTTTATCGCCTGGCTGTTGCTTTTTCGCCATCGGCTATAAAAGGCTATAAGAAATTGTGTAGAAATTTGTGTGCTTTGTAAATCCTTAAGTTTGCACGGAATCACCTTAATATTTACAAAACGCACATTATATTTTCCTTTAGTGCATATTTTTTTCATCAATTAAAATGAGAAAAATCCATACAGAGTGCAAGCATTTCAAAGTCATGAGTTGAAAAACGCTGACTCCACGAGATTAAATATTAGAGCCTAACACAAAGCGGAGCGGTGGCGCACTGGCGCCTACAAACCTAACAGGGATACTTCACGCATTGCGCAATGCGTGAAGTATCCCTGTTAGGTTTGTAGGCGCCAATGCGCGTTTCGCGCTGGTTGCCCGCCCGCCGCGCCGCGCCGCTGCGTACCACGGCGCTTGAAGCAACTATTTCACACCAGAGGTATTGCAAAGTATCATGCGAAATTGAAGGCGCTCCAACATATTAGGAATGGCAGGCATCCTTCAAAAGTACGGAGCTTTCCTCGCAAAATAAATCAAGATATTACGGCCCAAAAAGAGAGCGGTAGTCCAAAAACTCACTAAGTCCTAGCATCCGTAATTAGTAACGTTTAGCGTACACTTTATCGCCAGGCTGTTGCTTAATCGCCATCGGCTATAAAGGGCTATAAGAAATTGTGTTGCCGGCTATAGAAGCTATTGGAAATCTTACAGCCGGCTGTAGGTCAATGGTATTTTGGAACACAGATTCTGCTGCCAATTTTTACCAGGGAATATCCGAGTTGGTGTTTTTGCGTTCTCACCGACTTCCAGATTCTGATTTTTCATAGTCTGCCCGGAAAAATTTATATTTTTCGACCTGAATAACGCTTGAATATTTATATAGATTGTTGATACAAAGGTATACTGAACCGAAAAAAGAAAACCGCAAAATCGGATGGTCACCCGTTTTCCCTTGAAATGGCCAAACATTGGTATTTCCAATGAAATACTTCGATTTTTCCCTTTTCCCGTCGCTGTTTCGAGCACTTCTGATTGCAATTTTGAAATTTCTTTTTCCAGATGCTTCTATCCATAAGTGTTACTAAACTGTAAAAAAGTGAAAATCGAAAAAAAAACCCGAGTTGATGTGTTTTCGAGCTCACTGATTCATTTATAGTCGTTACTTCAGCAGCGGACTAATTATAGGAATTGACGCCAGCGGGCCGATTATTAAAATTCATAGACAAAGCAATAGACAAAGCTATAGACAAAGAAGTAATGAGGAGTATAGGGCGGTCCTATTGGTTGAAATGGGTGGTTCAGTTAGTTCAAATCAAATGGGACCACTAAAGAAAGGAGCTGTTTACGTAACGACTTTTGATTGGACCCTAAATTAAAACAACTGGTTCGAGGACGTAACGTAACGATGTACTTACTTGCTGCCGGTGACTCTCCATTTTTCCAGCTGGTAGAGCCAGAATATAGCTCCGCTAACTTTTCCCGTGGTGGTGAAAGTAACCTGGGTTTGGAGGACGTGGCGGGTGGAGTTGTCGTGGAGGGGTGTGGCAGCATTGGCGAACGCGTGGATCACTTTCAGGCTCTTCTCGATCCTGTCCCCGATCTTATTCGTCGTTTGCTGTCCAAAAGAGAACAAAAAAAACACCCCATGGATTAGTGAAAGGCACGATAAAATTATAAAATACCAAGGTATGTAAGAAACCAGCGGGCAGATTATTGAAATTTATAGAAAAAGCCATAGACAAAGAAGACATTAGGAGTATAGGGCGATCCTATTGGTTGAAATGGGTGGTTCTTATAGACTAAGGGGGTAAATGATGGACTAATTATCGGGTCTCTCGTGGGTTGCCGTTAGTTAGTCTATTACCTACGTCCTTTGTCCATTGCAACCACCCGCTGCCACCAATGAGATCCCTCCATATCCTTTTTCTCTTCTTTGTCTATTGCTTTGTCTATCAATTTTAATAATCAGCCCGCAGGGCCGACCGTAGCGCAATCGGCACCCTTGGCGGAAATGGAGTGAGGGTGGCAAAATTTCGTGAAAAATTTAATCTTCACGTAAAAGATTTCATGAAATTTCCGAAATTATGAAAGATTTTAAAAATACCGGTTCTTTTCCATGTTTCGCAAAAAGTAAAAATTGTGACTTTCTTCTATTTGTTTGTGTGTTTGAGTGCGGGCCACGTACTCTGGTCCCTGAAAATTATGAAATATTTCACAGCCTCGTGAAATTTTATAAAATATTTCACTGAAATTTCCTATCTTCCATTTCTTTCTTATATTTCATGCCACCCTGGTGGAGTTCTTGCACGTGTCAAGGGATTTACATTTTTAGTATTTTTCTGATGCATTTCGCGAGAAACACGAAAGTGCCAATTGTTTTTTCTGAAATTAACTTTCCAGTTCATAAAAGTTCTCAAGTCTCGAAATTCGCAAAATCAGCGCAAAACCAAAAGGGGGAACGTTAGCGCGGGCCTCCCGCAAAGGCAAAGGTCCGGCTCCCCCCTTCCCGTTAAAATCAGCCTTTTGAGATGAGTTGCGAAAACGGTGATGCTTACTTGTCCAAGGAAAAGGAGGTGTTTGAGAGCGTGTTTCATGGTGGTGGTTTTCCCGGAGAGGGTCTCGCCGGCGATGAGGATATGTTGCGCCTCGTTGTGGTGGAACAAGTCTTGGTAGGCGCTGTCCACGACGCTGAAGATGTGAGGCGCGTTATCAGAGCGAGCTTTCGCCTGGTACTTGTAATGATGCTGTCCGATTAAATGAAAAGTAAGACGTCAGGTAAATTATGCAACTTTGCAACGCAATTAAGTTCCTTTTGATCTGAGATCTTCATGTGGACGTATTTCTGTCAAACGGAACTAAGTGCGCCAATTTGAGTTCCTTTTAAGGAATTTAGAATCCCGGATGGCACGTTCTGTCAAACGGAACTATAAATTCCATGGAAAAGCATTGCGAGTATAGGACGAAACGAGCAGGACGCCCGTTTCCGCCGCCAATCCAAGCCCCCCTCTACCTTCCTCCCCTTATGGCGCTCAGTTCCGGTTGATAGAAATACGTCCATATAAGTAAACGACATTAATCTATACGGTAATTTCAGTAATAGAAATGGAGAATTTGCACGCAATTTTGTTATTGCTTCATCTAAAAGTGCTTAGAGAGCTGATTTTACAGTATTTTTTATAATTTTTCCTATTACGGGAAATAGTATAAGAATAGATTTAAAAGTGAGAAAATGCGCCCCCTATTGACGTCATTTCCCATTAAACCGCATGTATTTTAGCAGATTAGATCATTTTGTCATATCTTCTCCAATAATTGTTCAATTTATGAACCAAGGGCATCCTCGTGTTCTGCTCACTTGGCAGCGTCTATTCAAACACGGAATACCTCAAATTTCAGACACCTGTAAATTCTCCATTGGATTATTTGAATCGCATTTAGCAGAAAGGAACCAGCGCAATTAAAATGTTGTTGAAATGGTGCTTCTTCATTTTTATCTAAAAAATCCCCCAAAATAGCGAAAAGCTTTTGCATCCCACCAAAAATTGTTCATTTTAAAGGGAGATAATTGGACCGCATTTAACAGAAAGGAACCCAAGCCACATCAACTTTTGTGTAATTTAACTGGGAAATTTAATTTTTAACGAGAGAAGGTCTGTGCGAATTCCCATGAAAATTGTAAGGAAATTCCTTCGTACTACGGAGAAAATTCACTGAAATTTGCACGAAAATCCGCACAACTGTTTCCATGTAAAAAATTAAACCGTCCAATTGAATTTGGCAATAGCTGATGTGGCTTGGTTCTTTTCTGTTTAACGCGGTCCAAAGTCCCTTTTTGCCTGAGATCTTCCGCATAATTGGACGAAATTAATTTATGCAGTGATTTTAGTGACAGAAATTGGATTATTTGGATCGCATTTAGCAAAAAGGAACTAGCGCAATCATAGCGTTGTGAAAATGTTTCCTTTTTTATAATTACCTAAAAAATCTCCCAGAATAGCAAATGATTTTTGCTTCCCACTAAAAATTGTTCGTTTGAAAGGAGGAAAATTGTGTAAATTTTCATTCTGTACGTGAATTGAGTATTTTTAAAAGAAAAGAAGAAGTTGCACGATTTTGAAATCACTATAATCGCGCTGGTTCCTTTTTGCCAAATGCTATCCATTTGATATTCGAGTTTTGGACACTGCGTAATTCGCCATTAATGAGAAACAATATTCGATGAAGCTTTATGCCGTTTAACTGTCGTTCACCATCACAATATATAATTTGTTTAATTAATTAATTTATTATTAATTAATTAATTAATACTTTAATTTGTTTAATTAATTTTAACCTGATCCTTCGGGTCAAAATTCAGCGGAAACCGCGGGGCCAACCCGGGCACGTGTGGTACTGGCTTGACCATTCCGGTCTTGTTTTTCTTATGACCGGCCAATTAAAAGTTCCCGTAACCAATAGACAATTAGAACGTTAGTATCCTAGCTTAAGGTTGATTTCAGTAGTTTTCGTCGCGAGAATCGTGTTTTACGTGAAATTCTGTTGAAGAACCATGTATCAGAGTGCTTAAACTCGTACCTTGTTTAGTGGTCCATTCGATCTAAAAAAGCGAACACACAGAACTTTCTTAACTTTTTTCAGAGTAAATATTATATGTCGGAAAAAACTAGGCAACGTTGGAGTGCTCATACGGCATCGATAAACAACATGGGCCTTTCTAAGCCCCATTGTTCGATACCGCGCTTATCCTAACGTGAATAATCGAGCCAAACACGGTGCGGTCGGCGCGGCATCAAACTCATATCAGCGCCTGCAAGGCTGCATGAATACTTCTCGCATTGCACCAAACGCAATGCGAGAGTTATTATTGCGATAACTGAAGATGACTCGACACTCGACCACACTCCCTTCCCTGGCTTGCGCGACGCTAAAATCGCCGCAAAACTAGGTCCACGCATCATTTCTTTTGATGGTTCCTGTCCGATTTTTATCGCAACGATGAGCAACGATTCAGAAACTCCGAAGATGTTTAAAAGTTGAAGCGATTCTGAAACTTGAATTGCATAAAATTAATTTTGGTTTTGTAAAAAGGAAATAGAACAAATGAAAACATCGCGTTGAAATTTTTTGTGATTTTATTTTAAATTATTCCGGTAATTTCTCGGAAACTTCTAAAAACTATGCGTAGCTTTTTTTTTTTAAAAAAAAAAGAAGAAAAAAACTTGGGAACACTTCAGAAAAACTGTGTATACCTTTTGGAAACGGTTTTCAAAAAGAAGACATAAAATTGGTGTATAGTGTAATTTTTGAAGTTTACCTTAAGACTGTAAATATTGAGATCTGTGTAAGGGTTCAAGTACAGTAGGACATCTCCAATGAACGTATAAGGCATGCCGGCCGCTAATCGTGCCTGAAGTTCGGCTACGATCGTGTCTTCGGTGATAACGTCCAAAGCGGCCAAATCTTCCACGTGCATGCTCTCCAACTCTCCCGTTTCTGCCACCTGCAAGCACGTCACATAAAAATGAGAATGATTTTCCTTGCAAGCAATGAATCAATACGTAAATCATGGGTATGAACAGGATGATAGATGCTCATGTTTTTCTGAGCAAAGAATTATTTTGAACTATGAATTTTTTTCTTTTGAAAAATGGAAGCTACCCTTGTTGCAGAATATCAGGTTTCGCAAGGATGTGCTATTTATTGTCATTATGTCATTATTAACAATAAATATATGATTGAATCATCACTTCAAAACTTCTTATGAATTGTATTTTCCTTCTACTTGGGTTATTCAAATCTGCTTTAAATAACAATTTACTATACGGTAAAATGTATCCTGAATTCAAAGTTTTGAATTTTGAGTAATGATTATTTTCAACCTGTTATTATCAATTTTTCACCATTGAAAAATATTCCACGTCGATGAAATTATCATGCGCGGCCATGGTCTAAATACTGACCTTCAGGAGTCCTTTTCTGATTTGAACTTCAGCTTTTCGGTGCTCTTTCATGTTATTGTCAATGGAGGCCATTAGGGCTTTCAGCTCGGAAGCAAACTGAAAATGTCAAAAGTAGAACATGTTAACAGGAAAAAATCCACGTGGACAAATTATCAATTTCAAACATTGTTTAAAATTTCCTATGCGTGAAAGAATAGAGGAAATACACTACAACAATCCCATTGGAACCCGTTTTTCATTTATGCAAGTCTACATTCCTGATTGATACCTCACGCGTTACCACATTATTTCGTTTGGCCATCTCTCAGAGATATTCGTTGCACTGCTACGAATTTAGTTCGTTTATTCAACTATACAGTACTTTATTTAATATACAGTAATATTTTATGTAAATTTACAGTAAATGTATGTAATATACAGTACTTTATTTTATGTTTCGGTTCGTTAAAGTGAAAATTACATTTTAATTGATTCTAAAAATCTCTTAAAGATGATTCCATATGATCCATATCCTCCAAAACCACATACGCGGTTTGAATTTCAATTTTCCACTCTGTGGGCACTGGATAATCGAGGAAGTTGTAGATATGTAATTTGGATTGCATTACGCAATTAGAAACCAAACCAAAACTCAGTGGGAAGCTTTTTACGTGTTGTTGCCTCCTCGTTCCTTTCAGCTCATTCGATAAAATTATTTTCGTGGGCTTTCAATACTTAAAATTGATAACTCACGTACCAGTCATGAGAAAAAAAATCATGCGGAACAAGATTACTTACGTGAAAATCGTTCTCCGGAAGTGCTGTGATGAACGGGTGCTCCATTAGCTCCATTATGAACGGACGATGTTCTGGATTTTTTTCCAAACATCTGAAATCAACGAGCCCTTTTAGTTCTATATTAGGTAGTGGATAGACATTTTTTTAGTTTTATTGATGGAGGTCAAAACACACGTTTTCTGGATGCGATATCTCAATATTTCCGGAGATGTTGCTTTTTGTAAAAATTAAAATCAATTAAAAATGAAAATACGAATCTTGTATTTTGCTTTTTTCCTTCTTAATAAACGTTCCAGTTTCAGGGAAATATTGAAGAGCGGTCGTTGTAAAGAGATTGGCAGATTGGTAGGACATGTTGCCAAAACTTTGTCCAAGACGGAATTGTACTCGACGAGTCAGGAGAGACACGATTCAGATGATTTACTTACTCTGTGACAAAATCGTTGTAATTTTGACTCCAGTTTGACGGGCGAGCTAAGCTAGGGGGAGGATTTTTCACAATTTGAAACATAGCTCTTGTCGGGTGAATGTCTTGAAATGGGGGCTTCCCATCTCCAATTTCAATCGCTGTAATACCTGCAGGGCAGAAAAAAGGATTAGTATTCGAATCTTGGAGCAGAAAAACACCTAATCGACTTTAAAACAAAACTTCAAAGGTTTTTAATTAATTGCGTAAAGTTTCAACACTTTACACCGAAAATCATTATTGCGAATATAGATGTCGCATCATCTTGCTGTTGCTGCAAGTCTTACCACTTAGGAACGTTGCAGCGGTAGTACTCTGCTCACTCGAGATTCGAGGCTTGATGAGGTCAACACGATTCCATATGCAGGAAGTCAAAGCGCTTGCAATTGTGTGTGTATGCCACACAGGCATCTCTTGAGCATGTTTAGTTGCCGGCAAAAATTAAGTATTCTTGAGTTAAAGTTTCTGACATTTTGTTTTAAAACTTCTTTTTTCTGAACCATTTCGATATTGAACTGCTATTAATATATCCCGCTTAAACAGTGCAATTTGAGGCGTATGGTTGAAGAACAATTTTATTTAAACACAGAGAGCACTAGCAGCACCCAGGCGCAACTTTTCGTCATGTGATACGTCATGTGTAGAATTTTACTTCATTGCATTTATAGACGCAACTGAAAAGAAATGCGCTAATATAAGATAAGTAAATCTATGGTAAATATGCCAATAAGGAGCAGGCTAGCTTTTGCGGCGGTTACTTATTTCATTTTAACTTTCATTATTTAATTCGATCACCTTTTAAATTTTTTTATCTGATTCATTTAGAAATATTGTGATGCGGCTCTCTTCCGAACATGAGATACGAGAGAAAGAGCGATAAAGAGAAGGTATAGGAGTGCGCAGGCGCCTCGCAATATACACACATCATATCGTAAAAAACACTCACTGCTATACCTTTCGTTACCCTAATGGAAGTAATTTTTTAATGGCAATAAAATTTCTACAGTGTTTTACGAAATGTGGGCAAACTTGATAATTTTTAATGAAAAAAGATTAATGAAATGTTTACCTAGTGCCCAAACATCTATTTTACTATCATAGGTATTTTCTTCATCGTCACTGCGCCTTGAGCTGTTTACCAACTCTGGAGCCATCCAGTTGGGAGATCCCAAGCAAGAATTTCGGCGGTCTAGAGTGCTTTTCAGTTCACTATGTACATGAAACATGAATGATGGAAATTAACATTTTATTCGGAGAGAACGGGATAATTAGTGTGAAGGTCCTTTTTTGGATGAAATTATGATGGTTTTTGAAGGGAAGTGTTATTTCAGATTGCATTACGCAATAAGGAACTCTATTCTAGTTAATCTGTAAAATCACTTAACTACATAGGCAAATAAAGGCACATAAGTTATCTCTAAAATTAGCCAAAAATAGCGTTTCCGTATTGCAAAATGTAATCCATTTAGGCTGCATCAAAATAAAATTAATGACTAAAATCTTACTGTATAAATGGTTAAAACACATTTTGAGGATTCTACGTGAGAATTCAGTCTCGGGGATGTAGCAAATTTTCAAAGAATGAGCAAAAACTAAAAAAAATTGACACGTGATGGAGCGTATTGCTAGGAGTCTCGGGAACTGAGCATCTTTGTACTAATCGCATGCAGGTATCCTCCATTTTCCCGGAAATCCCCTCCTAGAATCGAAAGTACGTAAACCCACAGTTCATATCTTTACCACCGGAAAACTTCTTTACATTTATATCTCGAATTTTCAGTTGTGATACTTGTCTACTCAAGTTTCTTATTACATTATCTTTGAGTAAAATTACCCCTCAAAGGTAAATGACAGCTTTTTGCGATGCTCCGAAAGTTTGAAAAGGTTGATGAGGTTTACTTTTGATTCTACATTCATAATTTGTAGAGAGGTAAAATACCACGAAGTGAGGAGAAATTATAATCGATCATTGTTTAATGTTCGTTGCTCTATTGAAATCTACAGTAAGAAACAGTCGCGGCGCACAAAAAATTAGTAGATACCCTTACCGGGACAAGCCAAAGTCTGCAACTTTGATCTCTCCGTCTTTTGTGAGTAAAATGTTGCTCCCTCTAACGTCCCGATGGATAACGTGATTTTCTTGCAAATAACATAAGGCCTGAAAACGATAAAATTCAGACGGTTCTGTTCAGAAAAATTGCAGACTTCGAACCAAACCAAGAATGAATTTGAAGGCCACATTTTTAGAAAATACTTGAGCCGAAAAATATTCATGTAACACTGTAAGATTTGCTAACGTAAAAACGCCCTGGTAAAAATTGGCGATAAGAGCTGCGTTTCAAAATACCATAGGAATTCTTATAGTCGGCTAAAGAAGGCTACAGAAAATCATGTAGCTGGCTGTAGAATGCGGATAAAATCATACAGCCGGGCTATACGAAGCGATAAAAAATTATGCAGCCGGGTGGTAGTTCCTATCGCCGGGCTTTACACTTTATCGTCTGGCTGTTGATTTTTCGCCGTCGATTATAAAAGGCTATAAGAAATTGTGTAGAAATTCGTGTGTTTTGGTAATCCTTAAGTTTGATACGGAACCACCTTAATATTTACAAAACACACAATATAGTTTCCTTTAATACATATTTTTTTTCATCAATTAAAATGAGAATAATCCATACAGGGTGTGCAAACATTTCAAAATCATGAGTTGAATAACGCTGACTCCGCCAGATTAAATATCGGAGCCTAACACAAAGCGGAGCGGCGATGCACTGGCGCCTACAAACCTAACAGGGATACTTCATGCATTGCGCAACGAGTGAAGTATCCTTGTTAGGTTTGTAGGCGCCTGTGCGCGTTTCGCGCTGGCTGCCCGCCTGCCGCGCCGCAGCGTGCCACGGCGCTTGAAGCAGCTATTTCACACTAGAGGTATTGCACAGTATCATACGAAACTGAAGGCGCTCTAATATATTAGTAATGGCAGGCATCCATCAAAAGTACGGAGCTTTCCTCGCTAAATAAATCAAGATACTACGGCCCAAAAAGAGAGCAGTATTCCAAAAACTCACTAAGTCCTAGCATCCGTAATTAGTGACGCTTAGCATACACTTTATCGCCTGGCTATGAGTTGCTTAATCGCCATCGGCTATAAAAGGCTATAAGAAATTGTGTAGCCGGCTATAGAAGCTATTGGAAATCTTACAGCCGGCTATAGGTCTATGGTATTTTGGAACACAGATTCTATTGACAATTTTTACCAGGGCGGGTAAAAAACTTCTAAAAAAAAAGTACATATAAAAGAAAATATCGTGCAGTATCTATTACCTGTAAGAAAATACTTTTAAAAAAATCTAATTTGCCCTCATAAATGTTTGGAGTATTTTAATTAACGATTTTCGACTTTTTTTCGAATGCTGATAAATTGAGTCTGTTTTACGACTTAAACGCACAACTTTCAAACTTCTGAGCGTTGTCAAATTAAATTTTTTTTACGAATCGTGTTCCATTTCTCACGTTGACCAAACTTTTCTGATGTCAGTTTTCTCTCAATGTATGTTCAGTTCTCAACCAGGCGTTTAGTTTGAAGTGAATAGTTATTCTTGAATCTGGAATCGGTTAATGTTAAAAGCTGAGAAGCACATTTTTTGATGAGCCCATAACTCCATAAAATTGCGTATATTCTGAGACTCATCAGATAATGATGGTCGATTTTAATGCTAAAACGCTTGGAGTAGGTCAAACTCTCACGGTGCTGTTTTGTACATGCACAGAGAAGTCTCAGTATCAGAGTTTTGTGAAACTTTTGTAGTTTTAATTTGTTTAATCATTTTGGCTGATATTCCCGAGTATGTACCTACTATCGATAAAAATAGGGAGAGACTATAAAAATAGAAGTATCATTGTAGCTTACCTTAAGTGTTTCCTTAAGAATGAATGATATGTGCTCTTCGGACATTCTTTTCCCTTGCATTAAGAGACCTTTGGACAGATCAACAACAGTGCCGCCTTCACACAACTGTCAAAAAGGAAATGTTTTATTTTAGTTTTTAAAAATTCCTCACGGTTCGGTGAGATGTTGTCTCTCCCTTATTTCTTCTGTTTTGGTATATCTACAAGGAGAATGGTATGCATTTGTTTGTAGGAATAAAACATTTCTTATACTTTTTAAAGGCTCTTGGGTAAATTGAATAATTGTAAATTGTAAATCCCCCTGTATTTTTCTCCATTTTTTTCCTCTCCTCTCTGCTTTTTCTCCGAATAAATTGATTAAGATTTTAATCGCTCAGAGAGACCTGCATATAAGATCGGACGCAACCATCTCGGAAATTTTAAATCAGAAATCTCGTCAGAAATCGCTCAGGGATCTGTTTACCCTAGTGCATCACTGGCCTCCATCATTGGATGGGTAGGTGCAAAAAAAGCTATCTCGAAAGAAAACTCGGACGATGAGTCGGAATGGTTGCATCCTAACAGAGTGAAGGGTGATCTTTACGCACGTACTTGCATGACAAACCAGATGTCGTCATATTCGGATCCTCTCCGTAGGTAAGCACCATAGAAGTCTGGGAGGTTGGAGTGGTTCGATAGATCTCGCAGTATCCTATACTCTTCCTTGATGCCACTCATGTTATCAGGATATGCCTTCATTACTTTAATAGCTACTTTCATTCGACCTGCAATAACCAAAGCAATAATTACTTAATGTGTGCTAAGTAGTTTTTGTAACATGATCACATTATGAGTTAATTATAAGCAGTTTTGAAAATACAAAAATTAGATTCACATTATCTGTCTGGCTTGGAAGATATTTTTTAATAATCCGAACTTATGAACATTTAAATTCTAAAATAAGGTTTAATGATAGAGTATACCGTATCGACGGTGCAACTACCAGACCACGTATCTCGTTTTGCGGTGTTTAAAAATCTCTGCTCCTATTTTATTTTTGTAAAGGAAAATAAGCCAATATCATTCCTTGAAATTTCCGCAGATTTTTCTTCACTCCAAGAAGAAAAATCACGGAAGTTTTCCAAGAATTGACGTTGAAAAGTTTTTCATTTAAAAAATAAAGTATGACAAAGAGTGTGCGACGTTGCAAACCGAGATACGGGGTCCGGTAGTTTCACCGTCGGTACACATATAGTATACTGTGAGTATACTGTGTGTACTTGTATGTAGTGTGTAGTTGGTTATAATAATAGGGGGTACCCCCTTAGCAACTACGCGGTCCCACCCCCAGAGGGTGCTGCTTACACTGGCCCTCGTAAGTTAATTTATATAGAGTGGGCTCGCATCGAGGGACTTGGACTATCTACCTATAATTATCGATAACCGCAAAGATCATGAAAATCGGCCCAGTAGATCTGCAGAATGGACTGTGTCAAAATGGACATCTACTTTCTTAAAAGGGAGAATTCACAATTTTATCGTAATAATAATGCGTTTTGTCACGTGGAAATTTCGATAAATTTATGACCTCATGAATTAAATCGAAAAAATATATTTTGGGTTCCTATGAGCTATAAAACGTGAGTTGAGGTTACCAGATTCATTGTCGATAGCTTCGTAGACCTCGCCTCCAACTCCAGAGCCCATGAGCTCACCCAGCTCATACCTGTCTCCTGGATCCGGGAGCGACTCCAGGTTCAGCTGGTCCTTGCTCAACCCTTTTTGTGCCATGTTCACTTCCTTCTCCTTCTGGAAAAACCGAGAAAAGGCAGATGAATTGAACGCATTCATGTATAAATTCATGTACCTCCACACGGAGAAAAAACTATGAGAAAGCTGAAAGTCCACAGACATTGACGTTGTTCCATAGAAAACAGCCAGTAAATATATCTTCTCACAACGTATCACAAGCACCATGCGACGTTTCAAAATTTCTGCCGCCATTTTGTGTTTTGAGGGAGAAATTGTTCAACAGTTTTCCGAAGATTTCATTGAATTTTCTTCGTTTCTTGTTCAATAGTTTAAGGTCGTTTGCCGCCGCATCTCGCACTAGTCGCAAAAATTACGCATATTGAAAAAATCTCATTTCAGCATTAGTGATAATCATGAATCAGTGATATCAGTGATATCAGTGATATGCAGAAAAAAAATTGAGATTCCAAGACTCGTCCTGAGGAAAAACGCCGTATGAGCCTTTGGACGTCGCTTAATCGTAACTTCCCGGCCGATGTATCACAATCGCCATGCAACATTTCAAAATTTCCGCCGCCGATTCATTTTTTAACAGAGAAATCATTGGTCGAGTCTGTTTGAAAATTTCACTTAATTTTCTTCGCGCTGCCAATAAAATTCAGTGAAATTTTCAAACAGATTCAACCAACGATTTCTCTGTAAAAAATAAAACGGCGGCGGAAATTTTGAAACGTCGCATGGCGCTTGTGATACTTTGGCCGGAAGGTATTTGGCATATTTATTCGCGAGTCAACATTCATTCGTCGTTCAGTGACCAGAGACAAGAGACCCTCCACTAGTATCTTGGCCATGGTGGAAGCTTTTACTTTCGGGACTTCAGCATTCTACTGTTGACTTACCTACATGGTTGATGTTCAACAACGTGTTGGCAGTTTCGTTTTGCAAACAAGCCGAAAATGGCCGACGTTTGGGAAAGTTGTTTGGCTCATGACGTCATCCGAAGCTCATCATCGACCATGTAGGTAAGTCAACAGCCGAAACTAGGGTGATGACTGTTGCTCCCTAATAATTGTCCATAAGGAATTGTTGAAACCCCGAAAGTAAAAGCTTCCACCTGTCGCTAGGAGGCCAGTGGAGGGTCTCTTGTCTCTGTCAGTGACCCATTGCTTATCAAATTCGATATCAGGGTGATAAAATCTGTTTCCGTATCAATCCACCAGATAGTATAGGTGTCGACGATCAGTCTGCTTTCCCCAGCGATAATCGTGATCTGGATTTAATGGGGCCCGAGCTAGAATTACTTCATAATCGGTGTACTTAAAGAAAATAGTACGGTTAATTTTTGATAGCCTAGACGCCTCGCGTCTGGGTGATAAAGTAAATAGCTCCCTCTTCTTCAAATATATTATTTGTTTTCTTATCTTACTATAGTAAAAAAATATAAGGCCTTTTTTGTGTGTACGTCCGTGTCATTTCGCATGCTCATTGGTCTTTCATTAACCAATCAGAAAACTTCATTGAAAATCCCCGGGAAATTTAAATGTATTCTTCCGTAAAGGAATTAATGATAGGTAGACACGTATAAAAATGGGATGTATTTCTTCTAATTAACCAGGATAAAAAGGAGGAATATTACCTATACAGGATAGTCTTGGAAAAACGGGATGTACCTGTATTAATAAACCGGGATAACAGGACGAATATCGATCTTTGTGTATCGATCTTCGATACATCGTTTGTTCTAAAGCAGTATTGACTGGGATAAAACGGGATTTCTTCATAATAACCGGGATAAAAGGGAGGGATTTTACCTATACAGGATAGTCATGGATAAAACGGGATGTAACTATATTAAGAAACCGGGATAACAGGAAGGATATCGATCTTTGTGTATCGATCTTCGATACATCGTCTGTTCTGAAGCAGTATTGACTGGGATAAAACGGGATTTCTTCATAATAACCGGGATAAAAGGGAG